CCGATTTTTGGCGTATATGATCACGATGTGTAAACAAACAAGTTTGACGGTTGGATCGTTGAAACTAGTTTCTTAGAATACATATCCCATCAAAACAATATATTCACTAACAATTAAGAGTTTATTTATACTTTTATTAAATATAACATAAGATCTTGTGGTATCTACTAGTGTAAATACTTTAAATTGACGATCGAATGCAGTCATTGTATTCATATAGGGTCAAGGAGTGTAGCTGTAAAAAATCATCAAAATTGACGATCGAATAAAGTTTACAATTGGCATCCACTATGAAAAATAAGAACAATATTAGTAAAGAAAGATTAATATGTGACAATAATAGTGGAGATTAGAACTTGTACACAATAATTAGTTAGGCACTAAGAACAAGGTCCACTTATAAAATGGATAGAAAATCAAGTCTTAAACACATAATGTTCACTTTATAGTGAACTTATTCAAAAGTTCCAAATACCAAACCTTGTCCTAAAAACAAGTTATAAATAAGTCTATAACATAGAAGTAATAAACTTATTACATGGCCAACATGAAGAAAATATCACGATTTTCTGGAGTCGATGACTCTTATATAATAAGAACTCTCTCTACTCAGGTTGCTTACGGCACAGCCTCATGTCATAAATTTCACATTCCATCTGTAGACAAGAAAATTCTGAATATTAGAACATGCAACATGCAAATTACAACCTGCAACATGCAAATTAAAACTGAGAAAAGATTAAGGATTCAAAACAAATGTTACCCCAACAATGCGATTCAAATTCTCTTTGGCGACAAGATATTCATGGTTGACATTTTCTAGAGCTACAAGGCACCTACAAGCACAAAACCATACATATATGTATTATTCATAAATTTTGTTAGTAGATTATTTGGCGATCATGAGAGAACAAATAAAATCTTACCCTTCTTGGTTATTTGCTTCACTTGCATCAACGAGCTCTTGACAGGCAAGGGAAACCAGGCCACATGCATTACTGTAATTTCAAAATGCAGTAAATTAAGAAATTAAGAAGACCAGGATGTGCAACAAATTAAGAAGCCTCCATTTGAGCTCATAATATACAATACAAAAATCCAGAGGAGACCAGTAAATATTAAGAAATTCTTAGCAATGATGTCCTTTATTCTTTTATTTTGAGCTGAAATGGTTCCTTCACATATTATTCTTGCAAGGGCGGAACCAAGAACTTTGAGATATAAATTTGTCTTTTTACATTTAAGGAGCTACTAGGGTGGAGTAGACTAATTTTTTGTGGAATGTAGTGCGTTAGTTTTCACTAAATATGCTGAATTTCTTAAAAGTAACACTAAATTCCTATTTATCTAATTATTTCGAATGGGCTGGAGCCCATCATAGTCTAAGGGTGGTTCCGCCCTTTGTTACTGCATACATCACAAATGCATCAAAATCATAATTATCCTTTAAGTAATATATTAATGTATAGTAATTAGGGAGCATATTCTAAAAAATTATCCAATTGACAATTATGACCAAAAAAGAAAATAATTGGCAATTACCTGAGTGCTACTACTTTTAAACCTGATTGCGAGTTTATTCACCTCAGGATAGTTGACATCAGGCACACTCCTAATTAAATTAAAATTGAATTCTCCAAAATTAGTATCTATATATATGTAAAACTCCAATTAGTTCATGGAAATAGTGAAGGAAATTAATTACAGATTTCTTGTGAGTTCGGCTCTGTAATCTTCAGCTACACGAAGGAAGATGGTGATAATTTCGTCAACGAAGCGAGGGTTGATTTCATCTTGTAACTCTTTTATGTCGTCAAAGTAGTCGGTCAAAATGCCCTGCCAGGAAACATATACCATATTTCATAAAGCTTACCATACTAAAAATGTAAAAACTTAAAAGAAAAGCAAGATATATTTATAAGCAAAGCAATATAATGGGGGTGAACTGACTTGTTCTTGCAAGGAGCTGATGAGTTCCTCGAGCTGTTGGCTAAGATCCTTCCCTTTTGCAGCCATTTTCTTCGTTGAGAGAGAGAGAGAGAGAGAGAGATGAAATTGAAGTGAAATGAGAAAAGAGAAGGCAATAGAGAGATCAATTAATAAACAAAACCTCTTGTATATATGCATGGTTTTATAGCCTCTATATATGTTGTTTTTCATGAGACATAGCATGCATATGTTGCTAGCAGTATGCCGTGTGAAGTAGCCTGAGCTTTGCATGTCTCTGGTTTCATAACTTCATCATGAGCTTCATGATAGTCTTTCTATATTTGCTTGGCTCCTTTAAAAGTTTAGTTAGTGACTTTATCGACCTCTATGCTACTGAACAACTTAACAGAGAGGTTAACCAAGAAATTAGTTAAAATGCTGGGCTGTAGATTCTGGAATCTTCTAGAAGCTTCAATCTTCATTACTTACAAATTGTATGCCATGCATGGGCGGCGCCGCAACAAAGGTTTGTTGTGGCACCGGTGCCGGCCCCTTTCCAATCTCCTATAATATCTATAAAAAAACTAATTGGTGAAGGACAACTCTTCGTTCCTTTCGGCTTTTCTGACTTTATTATCATTTTAACTTTTTATATTTTAAAGATTATTTCACTGTTTAAAGATTTGTTGATTTCAGTATTCTTGCAAAGGCATATATATTTGTTGTTTGCGAAAAACAAAACTTGTTTTTGGGTATGACACGAAAATAAAAAACTAAGTTTTGTATATGACAGTATCATTTATGTGTATTCAAAGCCAATTTGTATGACAAAATAAAGCTAAGTTTTGTATATAGATCGGCAACTAGGAAATCAAGCAGAAGCTCTTTTCGGGTAAATAATTCAGTTTAGAACAATAAAATTAGGGAAACGTGAGAGCAAAGAAAAAGTTTCATTATTTTATACATTTCCTTTTTATTTTTATTATTAATATGCAGTATGCGTGTGCCAAGATTTCATTATTATTTCATAATAAATAAAATTTCCATTTACACTCCCTACATGTAAACCATCATCCAACTTTCCTATTACACTGCATCCATGCATCATTATAAAACCCGAACCAAAACCCTAATTTTCATCTATCAAATTTCTTCATCCACTCTAAAAGACAAAAAGAAAAACCATT